GAGTATGAACGCATTTGGTCGGAAATGGAAAACGTTTCTCGCCCCATGATGGTCAAACAGAGGGAGTGAACACCTGTCTATTTAAGCATTGAACTGTTTTTGAATGGTATTTATGATCTATTTGAATGACACAGCTTTGCAAGCAAACAACATAATGCGCGCCATGATGGTCAAACAGAGGGAGTAAACACCTGNTGCAAGCAAACAACATAATGCGCGCCATGATGGTCAAACAGAGGGATTGAACACCTGTCAAAGCTGTGTCATACAAATAGATCATAAATACCACACAAAAACAGTTCAATACTTATATTTACATTTTCTCTGCCTCTTATGTTCTTTTTTTAACTTATAATTTATATTTAAAATTCAAAATGCCCGACTTATCAACAGTCCACAAAATTCGTTCAATAGTTGCTGATTGGCAAACAAAGTAGAACTTTGAAATTTTAATAAACGCTTCAATGTTATTCCACAATTCAGTTTAAATACAATTTTGTATGATATGTCTATAGGGTGATTTAAGTTTATCAATAGAACTCTGAGCTGAAAGTTAGATTTAAAATTGTTTCGATTTTCTCCGGAACAAATTTAGCGCATGGATAAATACAGTGAACACCGTAAATCCGACCTTGCCCTCCACGAGGGAGTTATTTTTGGAAGTTAATTGTGAATATTGTATCGGAATCTGACTACAGTCTGTAGATTCTATAACACCTCGTTATTTGACATGTCGTCAGAAACTGAGGAAACAGTTGCTGCGAGACGCGTTTGAAGTAAGTGATCTTGCGACGGAGCACAGGGATTCGTTACAAATGTCTGAAATGTTTATGTGTGCTGTGACTCATATCAGTAGGTCTATAACATATGTGTCAGTAGGTCTATTAAATATGTGTACTTCAGACATTTGTAACGAACCCCTGTTGATCAGTGCAGTGTAACAGACGATATTTGTGATAAATTGCATGAGCGTTAAAATTGTTTCCATTGCCGGCATTGGTGATTTCAACGATATGCATTGTGTAAGATATTGCAGACCTTGGTCTTGTTTTTGTTGAAATAAAAGTATTTTTTATTTTATTTTTTTATTTTGCACATATTTACAATGACGTTGTCCAATCTCACAATGTCTAGCGATATTTCAGCAGCCGTCATGTTAATTTACATTGGATGTTGTAGTTCCGGTCAGTGTTGTATTAATACGCTAAGAATTATGTCTCGTGCTGCATGGTAATTTAAGTCCCATCAACGACACAGCTTCCAAAGAGGCTATACAGTAACAATGCCATGCAAATGTAAATATATCAGGTTAAATATTGAAAAACAAAGACAGCACTGCAATAGATTCCTGCCATATCTTTTTCAGTTAGTTTTTAATACGTTGGTCTTATTCAGGTAAGGAGTAAAAATATTAAAACAAGAGGCGACTAATGTGTCGAACCAGCAGAAAATCGAGAGTTTTCCTCTGTGTATTCTGCTTTATGGAAAGGGAAGAGACTAGAATTGATCCGTTGCCCCATTACAACGCTATGGCCCTCTTCGCCTTTTTTCTTTCTCCCTCTTTTTATAACGGCGATGTCTCCCGTCCAATCCAACGTCATATGACCTTAGATATTCCGAAGACGTTAACCTACCTGATCAATATTCCGTCTTTGCGTATTGCAGAGTTATCTTCTCTTGTGAGCATGTATTGATTGTAACGTCATTTGTTTGTGAGAATAACGTCAACAGTTTTTGAGAAAACGACGTAATTTTCTCACACAAACCAATGACGTAACAATCAATACCTGCTCATAAGAGAAGGTAACTCTGCAATACGCAAAGACGGAATACCTAGTGTGTGTGTTCCAATATTTAGATTGAATCAGTAGATCGTGGTTTAAAGACGAGGGGTATGTGAGCATAGCCCCTGGAATTTCGAGGATGGTACTTAAATATCAATGCGAGTTATATCTTTCTCACATTCTGTCCATCATTCAGAAGATATTTAATATAGAACGAATACTAGATCGTGGTTTAAAGACCTTTGTTAGACCCGAGTCCGATACTGTGTATGTGATTAAAAATATCGATAACGTCTGGACAATGGGTTTTAAACTGCGAGCCATTAATTGATTGTATGTACATAAATAGCACGTATCAAGGACAAGAATGATAAATGGAGACATGGATGATTGAACCAAATTTTGCAAACCTCGTATGAAAAGGCAACGTGTTGACACGTGTCATATCGACTTTCTAATACACTACAGTATTGATTGAATTAAATAAGACCTGGCGTTTAAAAGGATGTAAGTATACACAATTAATTAACATATTTGTCCAACTTTGCCTTTTATCACTTTACTCTAAAAGTATACATAGAAGAGAAATAGCACAGCCTGTCACACAAATAGAGGTGTGCTGTGTAGGTTTTCAATCTCTCCGATGTTATAGCGAGCTGTAACACAGATTATAACAACGTTTATTGTACACAAGACAATACAGTGACAATAATGTGACGGCGACCTGGATTAGACAATAGCACGTCTGACGGTACACACATAAAACATGTTAACGTGTATCCATTGTTCCTATTTATAACTGTAAAGTATTATAATATTATAATAATTCGAGGTTCTTATATTTACCGCTTTATCACAATCTAGTTCGTAGGTCGTCACAAAGCAGTTTACAAATTGATAACTTAGAGACGTTTCTACTAGTAAAAGTATTTTTTTTATTTCAGCCTCTTACATGTATCATTACGTGTGTAGCGGGTGGGAAGTTGTCAAAAATAAGACAAAGCCACTGGGTTCAGTTCTATCGCATTTTAATGCTTATAAATAGAAACATTCTGAAATACACAATAAAAATACGTATAAGCTCTACATGCATATATGTCACACTCGAGTAAAATACAATCTACAAATCTCAACAATTCAATGACCAGTTTTAAGATAATAAAATTACAACACTTTCTGGTACTTATTTATTATATTTTCCAACAAGGAATTATTCATTGATATAAGAATAACATCTAGGACTTCAGCAAAATAGTTATTTTACTTTATACATTATCATAAACGTTTACGATACTTCGAATCTTGAAATTCCAATTACATGAATTTAATATTACCTTTATACACTATCAGTACATTATAGATGCACTATAAATACAGTATAAATACACTTACAACACGTATCGTGCATTAACGTCACAAGGCAGAAAACGCACGTCCTAATGACTAAACCGTCATCGTCTCACATAATGAATCTGTACGAACTACAATAAATACAATAGAGTAATAGAATAAAGTATCACAACAAATGCATAACGCTTAACTTTTACAATAAATATATAACTTAAAATCGGATCACAAACACCCGAACCTTCATTCCAGAATAACATATTTAGTATCAAGCCGGTCATCAAATCAACGATTCATTAAAACATATTATTTAACCATTCACACTTATCATACACGCGGGAAGATACATACTGAGGAATAGAGTTAATATAGAATCAAACTAATTGAAATAGACATTTCAACTTACCGAAAATAGACCTGTTAATATCAAGCTGAATCTTCCGACCTGTTCTCCTTTCAAATCAATTTCAAAAAGTGCCCGAAAGCTTAAACAAACCTACACGAGTACTAACGACACAAACTTTCGACCAACCAAATAGCTTCGTCAAAGTCCGTCAAGTCCGTCACGTGTCTTACCTGTCACTGACCACAACTCACATTTCAAACG